AGGCCGGGGAGCGAGCCGCTCGATCACGATGATCGAGCGGCAGGCGGGGAGGAGATCGGAGTCGCTGTCATCCTGTGAGCTTCAGGATGTCAGCGGCTCTGTGTGTGTGTGTGATATTTACCGATTCTCTGTGCAGCACAAACACTGGCGCGATCGTCTGATCACTCCGGTGTTTTGTAAATAACTGGGGAATGAAGAAACAGGTCACCAGCACTCAGTGATTTGAATAAATATGTCCTTTTTAATGGACAAGGATGTCACAATGATCAACAAAGCCGACGTTTCGGGGCCGCGCAGGGTCCCTTCCTCAAGGCAGAACGATGTGTAAATAACTGGGCACACATAGTACTAAGTGTCCCCAGTTATGAATGAACAGGATGTGATTTACATCACTTCCTGTTCATTCATGAATTTCTCAATGGGGAGAAGCACTCACTACAGAGGCTCCTCCCCATTCAGAACCTTATGATAGTAAATATTTTACTATCAACAGTTTCTGAATGAACGGGAAGTCTCTATACTGATTGCTTCCCATTCATTGAGTGCTGGGGCTGCAGAAAAAGAGATTGAGGATTCTGTGTCCTCCAATTTCTTTTACTATTTCAAAAGGGAAATGTCAGGGGGCTGTTTCCGCGAAGCCCCCCCCCCAACAGTGAAAAAGATAAATAAATAATGATAAGAAATAAAAAGGACAACCCCAGGGGTGGGGGGCATACAACATTTTGCTATGGGGCCCAGTGATTTCTAGTTACGCCCCTGCTTGGAACTTTAGCACAGAATCACTGTCATGTTTCTTGACTGGTATATGTTTCTTCTGCAGCTTTACCTGTCGGCGATGTATCATCGTAGGGAACGGAGGGGTGCTCGCCAACAAGTCATTAGGATCAAAAATCAACAAGTACGAGGTGGTTGTCAGGTAAGAGCCTTTCATTGGCCCCCGCGAATCATAAACTCTGGGAACGGAGAACGTCAGCTGATCTGCATGTGTGACCTGTCATGTTCCAGGCTGAACTCGGCACCGGTGAAAGGCTTCGAGAAGGACGTCGGCAATAAAACAACACTAAGAATCACATATCCCGAAGGAGCCATTCAGAAACTCGAACAATATGAGAAGGATTCACTTTTCGTGCTGGCCGGGTTCAAGTGGCAAGATTTCAAATGGCTGAAATACATTGTTTACAAAGAGAAAGTGGTAAGCGGTGTCACTGAGTTGCGTGAGAGTCCGGTGTCAATGTTATAAGCTTGAAAACCAGTTACATCTGGACTTGTGCAAGAATCAGAATATTTGGTCATTGAAATGTATGGAAAGAATGTATATGTGTAGCCCGGGTTTGCTTTCTCGGTCTCACCTGAAGTCTGACAGTTGCCCTTTTTTTTAACACCTTTGTCTCTCCTTCACCTGGTTTTCTGTGCAGCCCTCCTCTTTTCTGCCCTTAGGTTCTCTGCACAGCCCTTGTATCTCCTTTTCCTTGTTCTCTGCTCAGACCTTGCCTCTCCTTTCCTTTGTTTTCTGCGCAGCCCTGGCCTCTCCTTTCCTTTGTTTTCTGCGCAGCTCTGGCCTCTCCTTTCCCTTGTTCTCTTCTGTGCCCCCTAGTTCTCTGCACAGACCTTGAATCTCCTTCCCCTAGTACTCTGCACAACCACTGTCTCTCCTTCCCCTGGTACTCTGCACAACCCTTGTCTGTCCTTTTTCTGGTACTCTACTCAAAACATCTCTTTGCTCCCTGGTTCTCTGCACAGCCCTCATCTCTCTTAACCCTGGTACTCTAAGCAGCTCTAATCTCTCCCTCCCCTAGAACTCTGCACAGCCCTCATCTCTACTGCCCCTTGTACTCTGCGCAGCCCTGGCCTCTCCTTTCCCTTGTTTTATGCGCAGCTCTGGCCTCTCCTTTCCCTTGTTCTCTTCTGTGCCCCCTAGTTCTCTGCACAGACCTTGAATCTCCTGCCCCTAATACTCTGCACAGCCCTTGTCTCTCCTTCCTGTAGCACTCCGCAGAGCCTTCGTCTCTCCTTCCACTGGTTCTCTGCACAGCCCTCATATCGCCTAACCTTGCTACTCTGAGCAGTCTTTATTTCTCCCTCCCCTAGTACTCTGCACAAGCCTTGTCTGTCCCTTTTCTGGTACTCTACTCAAAACTTCTCTTTGCTCCCTGGTTCTCTGCACAGCCCTCATCTCTTCTTCCCCTGGTATTCTGCACTGCTCTCGTCTCTTCCCCTGATACTCTGCTCAGCCATCATCTCTTCCTCCCTGGTACGCTATGCAGCACTTCTCTTTGCTCCCTGGTTCTCTGCACAGCCCTCGTCTCTCCTTCCCCTTGTACTCTGCACAGCCCTCATCTCTCCTAACCCTGGTACTCTGAGCAGCCCTTATCTCCTGTCCTCTCCTTCCCCTTGTACTCTGCACAGCCGTCCTCTCCTTCCCCTTGTACTCTGCACAGCCCTCATCTCTTCTTCCCCTGGTACTCTGCGCTGCCCTTGTCCCTCCTTCCCCTGGTACTCTGCACAGCTCTTGTCTCTTCTTCCCCTGGTACTCTGCACAGCTCTTGTCTCTTCTTCCCCTGGTACTCTGCACAGCTCTTGTCTCTTCTTCCCCTGGTACTCTGCGCTGCCCTCATCTCTCCTTCCTCTGGTACTCTGCGCTGCCCTTGTCCCTCCTTCCTCTGGTACTCTGCGCTGCCCTTGTCCCTCCTTCCTCTGGTACTCTGCGCTGCCCTTGTCCCTCCTTCCTCTGGTACTCTGCGCTGCTCTTCTCTCTCCCT